TCACAGAAGGCCACATATAGGGACACCTTTAGTAATTTGAAGAGACTATCATCATATATTCGTAGGCAACATCGAGGGACAAGATCATTTACCGAAGGAAACATCGAAGGTTCATCGAGAGACTATGATCTTTATGATGATTTTTAACTGAGGGTCTTTGCTAATGGTATCCATACATTCGAGGGACATGACCATTTTTATCCAAAGGCAACAAGTTGAATCACCCTAGAGGTGCACGTGTGAATAGTGTTTTAGTTCAGTTTATTTATCTTGCATATTAGGGTTATCTAGCTTTTGTTTTAGATATTGCGATACAAACCCTATTAGCATACATCTAGCAGTTATAAGGAAAGTGGTAAAATGCGGAAAAGAAATCTAAACTATTACAGGGCATCGGGGAAGGGGGATACAAACCACAAAATTGGGGAAAAAGAAAGAAAATTAAACCCTGGTTAATTTATTACCTTAGCAGTTATAATAATCGGAAAAAAAACTACTACGAATGTAAGAAAAGCACGAAGATTATGGAACGAAATGGAGAAATTGTTTAACGGGAAATAATTGACTATTTATCCTAATGATTAATTGATTTTAATTGAGAAAAAGGAATTAATTTAATCCTAAAATAAAATAAAAAAACCCTAAATTATTTAATTAAAAAAAAGTTTAATGATAAAAACCTAAAGAAACTAATTTAATTAATTCAATTAATTTAATTAAAAAAAGTTAAGTTGATTTAAGTTATTTAATCAAAGAAAAACCCCTAAATCTAAATTAATTTTAATTTTAATTAGAAAAAAAGGTTAATTATGTTTTAAAAAAAGAAATTGAAATAAAATAAAAAAGGGGTTGATGGGCTTGAATGCAGTAAACCGGGGGGGTGTAAAAAACAGGAATCACTAGGCCCATTAACAGCAGCCCAGTATTTGTGTGTAATCCAGTGTGGCTGGCTCCAAGGGTCTCATGGTACGTCTGCGAATCTGGGGCGTTGGATCTGATCTATTAAGATCTGATGGTTGTGACGTGAGAGTGCATGGTGTGCGCGTGGAGGATACCTGCATTGGATCTGTGAACAAGGAAACATAAAAATAAAATGTCAAAATACTAGGGGCAGGGATCGAACCCGTGCCCTGGTACACTAACACCTTTGTAATACACGCTTCTACCGCTGAGGCGGCCTTACATCCGCTAACCTAATTCAAATAATAAAAATAAATATGAAGCTTGATTCTATTGGCCGGAGAGGCGCCGGAGAGGCGCCGGAGCCCTAGCTCCGGTCGTCTTTCTCCGGCTGTGCTTTTTTCCCATCATGCGAAATAAACATTGTTAGGCATCAAATTATACCTTATCCCCCTAAATCGAGAGTTGAAAATCCAATGGCAATGTTTTTTAAGGCTAAAAATCCATGATTTGGAAACTATTGCACAAATAATACTTATTGGAGCAAGCATGATGTACTATAATTTAGAATGCATGGGATCATAATAGTGATCAAAACCTGTTCAGAGGGAACTCAGGAGCACATTAGTAATAACAACAAGATTTAAAACAATGAAAAACTTAATATATGAATTTCACAATATTATGCGATCGGAGATGCATGGTATGTCATTTTCATGCACTTTGGATAGTGGTAACTGATTCAAACTTACACTTCAATGTTCCACGAAGTGAATGGGATTGAAATTTTGGAATGAGAGGACTTGTAACATAAGTTTTTAAACTCGAGGATTTTTTGAGAAAGTTTGGATAATTCTTACAATTCTGGAGGCAAGGAGGTGTGGTCCTTTTGCATCTGATCTTGTGTGCTTTTATAGAGGAAGGGAATATGTCAAACAAACATGGCAAGAATCTTGTGCCATCATGACATGAATTATTTCCAAAAACCAATTGAAAACTTTCCAAAATAATGAAGATATGCTTCCATATAGGTCTCTCACTGTTTTGGCATGTTTGTCATGTGTTCTTGGGCCTCCATGTGATTGAAATCCAAAGCCCATGTGCCTTGGCCCAATGATTTTATGGTTTATTTGATTTACTTGCATTTAAATAAATAAAAATTCAAATAAAAGAAATAAAAATATTTAAAAAATATATGAATGGGTTTAGAGGTCCTATAACACATTGTGAACAAATTTGAACATCAAAAGTTAGGCCCATTAGTCTAGAATTTCAAGTTTGCTCACTTTGCATTCCATGCATTTTACCAAAATTTCCCAACTTGCAATGGTCATAACTCTCTCAATTTTTATCTTTTTAAGGTGATCTTTGACTTTTTGGAAATATCGAGATGTCCTCTTCAATTTATCTTTTGATCATATTTTCATTTGGAGATTTATCTTGATATAAGTTTCCTTGACAAAAAGTGTCTTTTTGTTGACTTTTGAAATGATCTATAATGTATGGACTCATATCTCTCAAATGAAGCACTTTTTGGACTTGAGCATATAAATAAAAAGTTGTAGATAATTGAATTTCCTTCAAAATGGGCTTTGGTTGAGGAAAAGTTGATGAAGCATGCGAAAGTTATGCATGGTCAAAGTCCAGTTGACTTCTCCTAAGGAAACCCTAATTTGACAACTTTTAACTTTTGATGATTTGAGGGATTTCCTTGAGGAATCATGATCAATCCTTGATCAAATGATGAATATAACTTTAAAATGTTAATGTTGACCAAATATCTTGAAGTTTGATTGTATGTTGACCATAATTGACTTTTTACCCAATATAATTGATATTTAGTCATCTGAGCCATTAATTGAGCAAACTTGTGATGCAAGACTTGAAACTTGATATGAACATTGTTGAAGACCTATGGAGAACCATGGAAATATGTTGAGATCTTTGAAACCCAATCTTCCTTGAGGAACACAAAACCCTAGTTGTGGACCCATTGCTTAGGAGGAGAATTTGTCTGATCAACTCTTGAGCATCCTTGAGCATTTGAGAATCTTAGAAGAAAATGGGAGGGAAAATTTTGGGGTACAACAATGTAAATTCATCGTTTTTGAACCGTTCTTTTTAGGAGGAAGTTTATGTAGAATAGCTCCCTGTTTTTGTTGTGAAGAATCAAGAGGATAGGCTCTACAAATTGAGAAAAACGTTATATGGTTTGAAGCAAGCTATGAGAGCTTGGAACAAACAGATAGATGGTTTCCTAGTTGATGTTGGCTTTAAGAAATGTGTGTTCGATCATGGAGTTTATGTGAAATCGGATGCAATAGAAGGTGTGATCATACTTTGTCTATATGTGGATGATTTATTGATCACGGGCAGCAGTGAGAAGAGTATTTTTAAGTTCAAGAGTGAACTTATGGAAGAATCCGAGATGAGTGACCTTGGGATTATTACATACTTCCTCGACATAGAGTTCCATAAGTAAAAAATGGGATTGCCCATGCATAAAAGGATATATGCTCTTGAAATATTGAAGAGGTTGATATGGAGCATTGTAATGCTGCCAATACACCAACTGAAGCAAGATTACAGTTGTTCAAAAGTGAGGATGACCAGGAAGTGAATCCTACTCAATATAGGATATTGATTAGTTTGTTACGTTACTTGTGAAATTCACGGCCAAATTTGGCGTTATTGTCGGTATTGCAAGTAGATTTATGGAGAGACCGAAGATATCTCACTTGAAAGTAGTCAAAAGAATCCTAAAATACGTCAAAGGGTCTATTGGTTGCGGAATTCTCTTTCCCGCAGCGGATACATGCAGAAAATGCAATTTGCTCGGTTTCACTGATTCCAATTGGTGCAGAGATAAAGATGATCGAAAGTCTATAGTTGGTTACATCTTTATATTCGGAGGAGCACCAATCTCTTTGTATTCTAAAAAAGAATTGGTGGTTACACTCTCGTCTTATGAGGCCGAGTATATTGTCGCGTCGTTATGTGCATGCCAAGCCGTGTAACTGATGAATTTACTGCAGGAGCTGGACAACAATGAGGGTGAGACTGTCACACTCTTGATTGACAACGTTTCTACTATTAATCTTGCGAAGAACCCAATTGCACATGGGAGGAGAAAATACGTTGAAATGAGGTTTCACTACTTGAGGGAGTTGGTAAGTGAATGCAAGCTAAGGTTGGGATATTGTAGAAGTGAAGATCAAATTGCTGATTTATTGACAAATGGAGTCACAAATGATGTGTTCAAGATGTTGAAGATGAGCTTGGGCATGAAGAACTTGGATCATTTGAATTAAGGTGGTGTATTGGATGTTTATAATAATTCAAATGCATGTTATAAGCTTCTGAAAGCTAATTGGAGATTACAACTTAAAAAATAAGCACTTCTGAAAAGCAGAAACTGTTTTTATCATGATTGTAACCGATTACAGATTTTGGCGTAACTGGTTACAGCAGGTCAATTCAATTATGTTTTAATGTTTTGTCGCATGCATAATCGGCTACGGAGTTTTGTGTAACCAGTTACGAATCCGTGTTTTGGATTTTTTAACTTATTTTTAAGTTGTTTTAGATCTCAACTGTTTTGTTTAGATTGTATAAATAGTTTCAATATTGTAATGTGTAAACTAATAAAAATTTCTCTTCTCACCCTCCATTACTCTCTCTCTCACACACTAATTCTCTTATTTTCTCACTCTATCTTCTCTACAAACACAAAAACCTTTATTGATCCGATTAAATTAAATGTTATAACAACAATCATATATATCATGGAGCATTGAAATAAAACATAATGCGAGACAAATATTATATCCTATATCTAATCCTTTCAAGACACATCGGAGAACAATGGTGTATGGAGTTAATGTGAGATTGTACCTGAGTGATCTTTTCGTCTCAATCTCTCACATCCTTCCATACCGTAATATACCCCATCAAGAACAAAAGCATACATCTTTTCCATTTCTTTGTCTATAAATACACTCAATTACCTCACTACATCCCTCATCAATTAATTCCTCATATATTCATTTTCATACAAACCACCATTATTCAAATACCATTCATAAAACAAAGTCAATACAATGGCCCTCCAAAGAAATCTCTCATTCATTATGATAATGATTTGTGTTGTGGCTTGTTATAGTGAGGACCCACTTAGTTCAATTGTTGAGGATTCTCCATATGTATATGATGGTGTAATATTCAAGGACTTTATTAAGCAAATAGTAGATCCTGTTTTGAGCTTAGAGAGCAAGTTGGGAAGCCTTTCTCCTTCCTCAGTTAAAACCTTTAATGTTGATGAATATGGAGCTCAAGGAGATGGTAAAAATGATGACACACAGGTATATTTATTTATTTCCACAAACACTTATAGAGTTTAATAAATAGTTTTATTTATTTATTTATTTTTAAATTTATGGCATAAATATTAATCCTATAACTTTTTTTGTATAAATTATTTTTATATTAAAAGATTAAATAAAATAAAGAGTTTGTGAAAATAGATTTAGAATAATTTATGAATATTTTAGAATTTGTTTTTAGAAAAATCTTTTTAAAAAATTAAAATAACGATGTAATAGCTAAATTGAAATTAATTAATATAAATAAGATCTTTTTTTATTTACTACTTTTAAAAAGTTGAATTATGAAAAATGAACGACAGAAAAACAGGAAGTTTGTCTCTAATTATGCCATAAATGTAAAAAAATATCGAAATTGGAGATAATTTGTCTTTATTTCTTTCTTTTAAAATATTAGTGGATCATTCATTTTTTAGTTGTAAGCTTTATTTGAAAAAAATAATTGTTAACTGATAAATTAGTTTATAAATGATGAGTTTATAATATATGATTTATAAATTAATTATTTAATGATATGAATGACACTGAATAAGTTAATTTAATGAGTGTTTGATAAATTTCGTTTGAAATGAATTATTAATATGAAATAACATTAAGAAAATATGTTTAATGATAATTTTAATTAAATTGAAATGAAAAATGATAAAATGAAAAATAATTTTAAGTTTTTTTTTAATATTTTCATATAAAAATTACAACAAAGAGATGAAAAAAAATTCAATGTAAAATTTTGTTAACAAAAATTCTACTCTTTTATGGGATATTTTAGGCATTCAAGAAAGTTTGGGAAGCAGCATGTTCTTCTAAGGGATCAGTTCTTGTGGTGGCTCAAAAGAATTATCTTCTAAAGCCATTCACATTCTCTGGTCCTTGCAAATCCAACAATATAGCTGTTCAGATCTCTGGAAGCCTTGTAGCATCAGATAATCCATCTGATTACAACCAAGATCCCTCACACTGGCTTATGTTTGATAGTGTTCACAAATTAACTGTTAAGGGTGGTGGAACCATTGATGGAAATGGAAATATTTGGTGGCAAAACTCATGCAAAAAGAACAAAAAGCTGGTAAGAAGTATCACAATTATAGCACAATGTTGTTATTATTATACAAATCATATTTAGATGCTAAGTATCATTCTGTTTCTTTTGCAGCCTTGCAAAAATGCCCCTACGGCACTGACTTTGTACAAGTGCAACAACTTGGTAGTTGATGATTTGACTATAAAAAATGGGCAGCAAATTCATCTTCAGTTCCAAGATTCTTCCAATGTTAGAGCTTCTGGTCTCAATGTGAGGTCGCCTGAGGATAGTCCAAACACCGATGGAATTCATGTCACCAATACTGAAAACATCCAAATCTCAAGCTCCTTTATAGGAACCGGTATTCTCAATTCTTTCAAAAAAATATAATCAAATGTGTGCATATATGATATATTTAACATGCTTAAACTTCAAATGTTTGTTTGCAGGTGATGATTGTATATCAATTGTAGATGGAACCAAGAATCTACATGCTACAGACATAACCTGTGGACCAGGCCATGGTATCAGGTAAAAAATTTTAGAAGTCCTTTTTAGTCACAGTTTAACCGTGAGTAATTTTGAACAGTGTGATAGTCTATATTCAATGATGATCCTTTACCGGTTGGTAATTAACTTTTGTTAAATTAGACTTTACATATCTTAATGAATGATTCATTCTTTATCAGCATTGGAAGTTTAGGGGAAGATGGTTCGAAGCAATTTGTTTCAGGAATAACAGTAAAAGGAGTTAATATTTCGGGTACTAGTAATGGAGTGAGAATCAAGACATGGCAAGGAGGATCAGGAAGTGCAAGCAACATCAAATTTCAGAATATTCAAATGAAAAATGTGACCAATCCTATAATAATAGATCAGAACTACTGTGATCAAGATAATCCATGCCAAGAACAGGTATATATCATTAACTTGAACCATGTATTGTAAGTGTTGTTGTGTTATTGATACAAAACTTGGTTAATTAATTAATTAATTACGTTATTGCAGAAATCTGCAGTTCAGATAAGGAATGTGTTGTACCAGAACATAAAAGGAACAAGTGCTTCTGATGTGGCTATGGAATTCAATTGCAGCAAGAACTTTCCATGTCAGGGGATAGTATTGCAAAACATAGACCTGCAACTTGAAGGCGGAGGAGAGGCTAAGGCTTCATGCAGCAATGTTATATTGTCATACAAAGGAAATGTTAAACCTCGTTGCGATTACATTGAACAAGTGTATGAAGATGGTGGATTTGGAAGCACTTATATATAAAGCTTATTGATTAGTAATGAATAATGTTATTTCTTATGTATATTGAGATAAGTGACATAGTTTGTACCTAAGTATAACATAAATAAAATGTCACTTGTATTGTATTTTATTTTGTAATTTATATATTGATATGTATTATTATGAGTATTGTCCCTTTAATTATATAATATACATAAGTTGCAATTACAAAATGTTGAATCAACAACAACAAATTAAAATTAAATACTAGCGCGTGAATTCGAGTACGTAATACGAAATCCTCAAATAATTCATTTCGGTATATGGAAGGTATACATAATCAATATGTTATTTAAATTCGTCCTAAGTCGTAAAACTTTTAAATATAATAATTTATATGTTGTTTTTAAAATATTATTAAGGGGGAAAAGTAAATAATACAAAAAATAATGTTACACATAGAGAGAATAAACAGGCTATATAACAGTTTAGTTTAATAGCATTTGCATTGTAGAGCTGTTAATCCTACATCGGTTGTGTATTACAGGTTGAGAGTAAAAGCTGGCTATTAATAAAGCATAGTAATGCATGTGAATTGCATTGGTGTAGTATGTTAGGTTGCTTTGTTTAGAAAGTATAGATGGTTAGTATGCTATGCATTGCACGTGGTGGCAATGTTACATTAATTAAAAATTAGTTCAAATTTTTAAAAATATATATGCTACATTGTGGTTAGTTAAGTTTAGCGAATTTACTATTTCTGTTTTTAAATATAAGACTTCATATATAATATTATGCTAATTAAAAAAATTCGTTAAATTATTAAATTTTCGTCTTTAAATATAAGATCTCCTAAATAAAATTATATTAATTAAAAGTTGATCAGAATATTAAATTTTTGTCTCTAAATATAAGATATTTTTGTCTCTAAATATAAAATCTCATAGATAAAACTACGTTAATTAAGATAATTAATTAAAATATTAAATTTATTAACTATTTAATTTGTACCGTTTTACAAGATAGAAAAATAATTAATATTTATACATATATATGTATTATAATTAGGAATATATTTGAAAAAAAAAGTTGAAGAGAGTTTATAAAAAAGAAGAAAAAAACTAAAATTAATCTTATGATTAGAGACGGATCTAATAATAATTAGATTAGATTTTATTGTTATTTTCAAAAATATTTAATTCAAATTTTACTTTGATTTGGTAAAAATTATTTTGTTAGTCAAATTCTAGGTCAGAGAATGTAGTTGAAAGTTTATTTAAGAGAGTCTATTAATAATTTGTTTCGGTCATTTTTATAAAAAATATTTTAAATTTTTAAATTTATTAAATAATTGTAAACAATCCATAAATATTAATTAAATCTAAAAACATAAAATTTCTCTTATAAAAATAATCAGAGAGAGTATAAATTTCAAAAACCAGCAAAATTAAATCTCAGAACAACTTTGACTTTAATGGTAAATTTATTCAAACTTATTTAGAAATGAAATAAATAGTGGTATTTAAAGAGAACATTTTCTGCAATTGAATTACAACCCAACATCAGAACTCATCGGTCATTGTGGCAACTTCCCCTCCTAGATTTATGTCAACGATTATTTTGATTTTTGAGTCTTTCATTCAAATTTTTTTCATGTGATTTTATTTTTGAGTCTTTCATTCAAATTTTTTTCATCTGATCTTGTCTTTTATTTGAAATTTTTTCTTCATCTGACTTTTTACGTGATATTTATTAGAAATTTATCAAAATTTATGATAAATTTCTATCAATCTTGATGAACAAGATTGATATCACCACACTATGACAATGAAAAAAATATGAAAAAAAAGGAATAAAGAAGACAATAAATTTTCTGCAGAGTTTCTCTCTACCTACAAACTGTGGAAAACTTTATTATTCCCTTTGCAACTGTAAAATTCTGTGAATACAATTTGATTGACTTTTTTAAAATAAAAATAGGATTACTTCCTCTATTTATAATTGAGCTTGTTTTCTCCATAAATCAAAAGCCCAAAACTATAAAAACTCAAAATATTTATTTTGGAACTATATCAAATCTATTCTATTTTAGACCTAAATCAAATCTATCTAGATTTAAAACAAATCTGTGTGTAACAAACTATTTCCACATTAAATCAAATCTTTTCGACATTTCCTTGTTTCTCGAGCAAACTGCTTCGACACAAGGAATTACTTTCAACACACCACATAATTCGTTGTGTCTAAGCTATCTATATTCTTCATAGCTCTTAATCTTCGAAATACTTCGACCTACACACCTTTCGTCGTGATGTTTGTAATTTGATTCTCAGTTCTGCAGCATTCCAAGTTCATTTTCTCATCTACTATCTGCTCTCGAAGATAGTGGAACCTAATTTCGATGTGCTTACTTCGACCATGAGCTATCGGGTTCTTCGCCAGGCTGATAACCGACATGCTATTAATTTTGATGGTAATTGCTCCGTGATCTTTCCCTGTTATTTCTTCGACCAATTTCACCATCCAAATTGCTTGACATGCATAAAGAGAAACAACTATGTATTATGCTTCGTATGATGATAATGCCATTATTGGTTCCTTTCTCGAAGTCCAAGCAATTGGTGCACCACCTAACATAAACACATATCATGCTGTGGATTTTCGATCCTCAACATCACTACACCAACTCGAATTAGTGTACCCTACTAACTTGCATTCTTTTTCCTTTATCAGTTGCATGAAACAAAATACCATAGTCGAGAGTTCCTTTGAGATACCATAGTATCCTCTTCACCGCTGCTAGATGTGATACCTTTAACTTCTGTATGAATCTACTTAACATACCTACATTGTATGCTAATTCAGGCCTTGTGTGATAAAGGTATCTTAGTGACCCAATAAGTCTTCTGTATTGGGTTGGTTCGAAATCAGCTGCTTCTGAATCTTTCGACAGTTGTAGTCTTGGTTCTGCAGGTGTCAAAGTCGAGTTGCATTATTCCATCTCAAATCTCTTGAGAATTTTTCCTGTATATCTTTTTTGATGCATCATCAAACCTCTACTACTCTTGTAGAGTTCGATACCAAGGAAGTATGAAATGTCACTCAGATCAAACATTTTAAATTCCTTGCTGAGATCACCTTTGAAGTCTTTGATCTCCTTCTTGCAGCTACCTGTTATTAACAAATCATCGATATATAGACATAGTATAAGCAATTCACTATTGCTTCTTTTTACATATACTCCATGTTCATTTGTTCACTTCACAAAATCCTTCTCCCTTAGAAAACTATCAATTTTCTTATTCTAAGCTCTTGGAGCTTGTTTCCATCCATACAGGATTTTATGCAGCCTGTACACCTTTCTCTCTTTGTTATGTTTCACAAATCCAACTAGTTGTTTAACATAAACTTCTTCGTCTAAGGGCCCATTTAGGAATGCACACTTCACGTCCATCTGATATATGTGCCAATTGTTTATTTTTGTTAGACCAACAACCAACCTGATTGTTTCGATCCTAGCCACAGGTGCAAAAACTTCATTAAATTCTATTCCTTCTTTCTGGAGAAATTCTTTCGCCATGAGCCTCGCTTTGTGTCGAGTTACTTCCCCTTTGGGATTCATCTTCACTTTGTATACCCACTGGACACCAATTTCTTTCTTGCCTTGAGGCAATTCTATAAGTGACCAAGTATTGTTGTCTTTGATAGACTTCACTTCTTCGTTCATTGCTTTTACCCACTTCAAATCCTTCAATGCTTCAGCTGTATTGACAAGTTCGACATCTGCACAGAAATCATAATGTACCAACTCACCTTTATTATCTATCACATCATATGATGTAATCACACAATCTTGCAGGCATGCGTCTTGTTCTTTGAGGTCTGTTTGTACTTGGTTGATCTATAACTATTGGTTCCTCTTATTGAACTTCTCTTTTGACTTCAACTGTTGATTCTTTGAATAAGATTCTTACTGAATCTTTCTTGACATTTCCTGTCCAGTCTCATTCTTCAAGCTCATCTATGATCACGTCCCTGTTGATCACAATTTGTTGTTCACTGGGTCGAACAACTTGTAACCTCCCATCGAATGATATCCAACTAGAATCATTTGACTCGACTTATCATCAAGTTTTCTTCTCAACTGATATGGTACATGTCTATGTGAAATAGATCCAAATACCTTCAGATGACTCAGCTAGGATTCACACCAGAACAACATTCTTCTGGAGTAATACCTTCTAGCTTCTTCGGCGGACATATGTTCAATATGTATGTTGCAGTCGACACAGCTTCACCCAAAAACTCTTTAGGTAAATTCTTACCTGTCAACATACTTCTCACCATATTCATGATGGTTGGTTCTTCCTTTTTGCAGTTCCATTCTGTTGTAGAGTTTAGGGTGGCACCACCTCATGCACAATCCCTTGTTTTTCATATAACCTATTGAAGTCTTTCGACACATACTCTTCACCACCATCAGTTCTCAAAACTTTAAGCTTTCAATCACTTTGTCTTTCAACCATGGATTTAAACTTGGTAAATACCTCGATCACTTCACTTTTCTTCTTGATTAGGTAATTCCACATTTTTCGATTGTAATCATCAAGGAATGCTACAAAGTATTCGTTACCTCTAAGTGAATCCACCTAGATTGGTCATCATACATTAGAGTATATGACTTCGAGAATAGCCTTCGACCTACTTCATGCATCTTGCTGAAGTTATTCTTGTGCTGCTTCGCCTCCACACACTCCATTTGGAATGTCAATTTCTGGCAATCCTGAAACCATATTTCTTTTTTTCAAATCTCTGATGTCCCTAAAGTTGATATAGCCTAATCGATACTGCCGTATCCATTCATCTTTACCAGTTGCAGTCGAAAGGCACTTATGCTCCATCACATTAAGTTCAATCTTGAAGGTTCTATTTTGAGACATGGGAGCCTTCAAGATTAACCTTCCATTTGTGTCAACGAATCTCATCATCTTGTATTTGATTGACACTTTATATATCTTTTCGACCAACTGCCCTATACTGAG